TATCTATGATGGATAATGGAAGAAGGAGCAGAAATAGTTAGGAAGAACTTTTACATGGGAATGAGTTCTGATACCTGAAAGGAGAGAGAAGCAAAGAGGAATTGAGGGTAAAACCTCAGACTATAGAGTAGATCTGGCAAAGCAGTCAGCCAAGTCTATGAGGGCTCTCTGGTCAGAGAGTGCTTATTGGAGAGTCCTGCATTTGACAGAATGTCCATACTCTAGTCCCTTTGCTGTGCTTAGTCCTCTGTTAGGAATAGCGCAAGGACAGTATGACCTTGAATGAAGCATACTTATGCTAAAATTTATTTGTAATTTATCGGAAACTCAAATTTAACTGGAAGTTCTGTACTTGCCATTTTTAGCAATCCTACTATAATGGCAGGGTTGAAGGTCATAAGTTGGCAAAATAGTCTACTCCCAAGACTGATTTATGTATTGTCCTGGACCATAAAAGAGACCAGTAGTATGGCCCTAAAGTGCCACCACTCTTGAAGGAAACCCTTAAGCCACTTGGGGGGCATAATGACAACATTGAGCCTCTTCAAAACTAGTTGGGGCAATGATTCATCTTGACTGGAGTCAACACAAATTCTGGGCATGGGTTTGCTTTTCCTTATTAAAGGCCCTCAGCTGGAATATACAATAGTGCCATAAGGTTTGATCCACTAAGATAGGAATTTATGCACATTGGGTTGGATACATATATCCACTTTCCAGCCAAAGGCACATAACATTGGGACATGGACCTGGGGTTTTATTATTAACACACCAAACAGAAACTGTTAGCTAGACAGAATGATGGAGGCACAGCTGAGGTACCAGCTTAGAGATGATAGTCTGAGAAGGTAGAATACCACCACCAGAAAGCATCATGCACCCTCAATGAATGGTCATATAAGGTAGAATACACAGGTCTAGAAACAAAAGAGTACAAGGAGGAGTTTCTTTGCTTATATAACTCTTGGTGACCCACTTAGAAAATTTATGCTTCCCATTATAATAATTCTGGGTTCCACAGTTTTAGATCTCTTAGCCCCCAGACTGTAAGTACCTTTACCAGGGGACAACATAAGAGTCTCATCAAATTTTTATCCTTGACTGCTTTCTTATAGTGTTGTACCAGTCAAAAGAAAACAAATCACCATCCTGACAGAAACAGTTGGTCTTATTCCTCAGGAAGGCTATACAACAAGGGAAGCAAGAATTTGTTGGTGTCCAATTAAGTAGACTTTGGAAATGACAAACAAATCAACCAGCCACAGCTTGAGAAGGAAGGACATGTTGTCTAGAGGCTCAGACCCTTCTAGAATAAAGGTTTCAGTCAGTCCACCAAGTAAGTCATTCAGATTAGTGGATAATAGGTGATGAGAGAAAATTTACAATGAGCAGTGGAGAATAACAATGATGCATGCCAGTTAAGTTCTTGTTATCATTTGGATCTGGGTGTCCCCCAAATGCTCATATATTGAGGGCTTGGTTCCTAATTCAGCAATACCCAGAGGTAGGGCTTTGGGTAAGTGATTGGATAATTGAATGGACTATTTTTCTAAAAGGTGTTGGAAAATGTAGGTAATGAGGCCTATTTGGAGGAAGTAGGTCACTTGGAGGCATGTCCTGGAAGTATATATATCTTGTCCATGGCCCCTTTCTATTTCTCCTTCTTTCCCTCCCTCCTTCCTCCCCTCCTTGCTTTGTTCTTGGCTTCTGTGAGGTGAGCACTCCCCTCCACCACATGTTCTTGCTGCCATGATATTCTGCCTTGACTCAGACCCAAGGCAATGGAGCCAAATGACCATAGACCGAAACCTCTGAAATCATGAGGCAAAATAAATATTACTCCTTTAAGTTGTTTTTCAGGTATTTTGTCATGATGGTGAAGAGCTGACCAACACAGGTTTCAAGACCAGCTCCAGTGGGAGGTGTGTGCTGTTTCACTAGTCTTATATATCATAACATAGGCATGGGAAAGCTGCCCTGGAATTTGTTTCTGTGAAGCACTTGAGCCTGAGCAAGGTGAGAATGAACTACAGTGGATGCTGTGGTATACCACGATACTTTTCCCTCTTCACCACAGCTTGTTTCTCCAGCTGCTGAGATTGTCAGAGGCATACAGTCCCCAACTGAGTCTCCCTCAGTCATACCCTATTTCATGTCCCTTCCAAGTTCATGCACATAGCCAAATAAGGGGTTTATGGGCCTATCCCCTTGCCCTGATATGTGACCATTTGGAAGAACCAGCCCTATGACTCCTGTGTTACCATGTGTCCAGTGGCCCAATTTTTCCTCCACCTGACTGCTTCCTACACTTCCCCCAAAGGTGCTGATCACACTTCCCTATCAATTTCCTGCATCTTAATCTTAATCTGAGATTGTTTTCCTCCCCCAAACTGATGTTATATTGTTTTGCTATATATTTTTGGACTTTTGTTATCATTTCTTAGTATGGACACAATTTCCAATCTTTCCTTTATAGTTACTTATGTTTTATGACATACTTGGGAAAACTTTTCCCATCCCAATAATATGAACATATTGACCCATATTATTCTAGAGTAACTTTTGAGTTTCCCAAAAGGCTTTTAATTCTTTGATTCATCTGTACATTGGACGTGAAGAGAACTAGTGACACAGATTTTCAAATGCTTAACCAATTCTCAATATATTGTTTATGTTAAAATTATCCTTTTCCCCAAACTTTTCTAAAGTACAACTGGAACGTTTTTATAATTTTTCTAATTTCTAGTTTTCAGTGCTTAACTCATTTGTCTTCAACTGTATTGAAAAGTTTAAATTATGAATTTTTCTGTAAGTGCAATATTGGCTGCATCCCACATGTTTTAGTAGTAGTGTTTTCTTCATTAATTTTATTTTGTAGATCTGTACCCAATTATGGTTTTGATTTCCTCATTTTTAAAGAATTGATTATGTGAGCTTTTTAAGATTTCAAAATTATAGAGGTTTTTTTGTATTTCTAAGCTTTATTGCAGTGTTTAAAGAATCTGGGTTACACTATTTGTTCTTTAAAATGAACTTAAATATGAGTGCTCATGAATTTGTATGCTTTGTTCAAGAACCAGGCTATCATATTGGTCTAGAAACGTTAAACTTATTTTTTTTTCCATTTGTACAGGGGTAACGCACTGTATTAAATATGTAGGGTCTTATCTATGTGGGTTTGATTACAGAAACTAATAAAGTATTCTCTAAATAATGAAAAAAAAATAACCAGGCTATCATTTTTCTCCTTCATCTTCCTAATGTAAATAAAAGTGAGTTAACTATTCCCCTTGTTCCAAAATTGTTGTCATTTGTTGAGGGGTAATATATCAGAATACACTAGTAAAGATGTGGATTTTTTTATACAGAAAGTGGTTGAGCATCATTCTAAGAACTTTATGACAGCTGTTCAGATACCATTTTGGTCTCCTCTTTGGTGCCTGTTATCATTTGAGTTTCCTTAAGTTGTCACAGGATGCCAGAGCCAAACCTTCCCAACATTCTTTTTAGAGTCTCCTTTTGAAAGGTGAATTAACTAGAACGCCAAGCCAGAATGTTAGGATTTCTGGAATCGGATCCTATTCCACTATTGACTGGTGGTATTACTGGAGACAAATGTCCTTATATTTGTGATACAGCATCTCCATTTTTACTGGTGTAGGGGGTAGTCTGAGCCCCATGGTACCTAGCAACCTTCCAGCCCAAGTTATAGACTACAGTGATGGGTAAAGCAAAAGGAACAGGACAGAACAGAGGCATAGGTATAAGTCAGGGAATCTGTAAAGGTGCTCTTTCTTTTGTATCCCACTAGTTACTGAGGAAAGGGTAGTTGGTGCATGCCTGGCAGGTCAGGGATTTATGGCTAAGACAGGGGAACAGATAAAAGTTTGGGTCATGGACTTTAAAACCTGAGCTGAGAACAAACTTGGACACCAAAGAAACAACCACACCTTGAATGCTTTGCTGATATATTTATTTATATATTTCCCCTTTTCAGATGATGATGACAAAAAGCAGATGGATCCCCTACCCTACCCACCCCCCATAAAATACAGACACAGATTTCATTCAGCATATACAAGCAGTGGGGCATGTCCAAATTCATCTCACTGGGTGACTAGAGCCAGGAAAAGTTCGATCTTGGGGGGCAGTCTGAGCACCTCAGGCCCAAGAATTGAGCAGGCCAATGCTGAAGGGATCCTGCCATTTTGGACCCTGCCACTGGGGTGCTAGCAGAGGTGACAGAATTGAATCATGGTAAACAGAGCTGCCTAGCCCTGTCAAGTGATCTAAAAGGTGACAGTGGGATCCTGAGTAGCTTCCAGTGAGATCCACAGTCCCATAGAAATCTGTGCCTCAGGGTTGCCATCTGCAAAGGGGGGATAAGAATCCTGCCCTAAAGATGTCACAGGGCTGGGTATAAATGAGGCTCTAAATAGAAATGAGTTGTCAAAAATAATTTGTCAAAAGTGCTTTGTCAAGGTAAAGTGCCATAAAATTTAAGGGAATTCAATTGATTGTGATTGTGTTGAGTGCCCCAGGGATAAAAGTGGACTGGCTCATGGGTCCAGGGACCAAGGAAACAGTCAAACTTGTAAACTGTGCCTGAGATGGGCACCTGCTGCTGCTGCTTCAAAAAAGAGCTTCCTTACTTTCTTGGCCCCAGGAGGTCACCAAGGCCTAGCACCTGGATCAGGGCTGGGAAAGTCACTGGGGAAGTTACAGAAAGAGTCACAAGGGTCAAAGTAGGAGGAGGAAGGTGGCATAAAAGCAGGGAATTAAATACTATTATCACACACAAAAATAGATACCCACTGGATGAAGGGCATTGGATTGGTAGTGCATATGGAGGCTGGGGGGAGAGGGAGGTGTCACAGCAGCAGAGAAAGGGATACTGTCACAAAACAGGCCCACTTGCTGTCTTCCCTCCTCCTAAAGAGTTAATTCCAGTGTCTATCTGCACAGGAAGGGTGGGTAGAGAGATTAAAACAAGAACATAATAATCTGTTTTAAGATTGGGCATCCCCTCCTCCTGATGTACTGCTGCTCAGCATCTTTAAGAATTGTCAGGAATAGGTGAGCAGCTTGTCTGTGCACTTTGAGGCAGAGGCCAAAGGTGCCACAAAGGCAATAATGGGTTTCTGGAAAAAGGCAATGGTTGTCAGCACAGTTGGGAGAGAGCTAATCTGCTCATACATGGGCATGGTTTTAGGGAGCTGATTACTGAGAACCTATGATTTTTAAGACTGAGCATCATGAATGCTCTTTGAAAAACAGAGATGTGGGCTAGATTACCTGAAAGGGGCTGCTGAGGAGACTGAGTGAAGGGGCCAGTGTGAAGAGGCCAGCAAAGACAAACTGTCCACAGGCTTATATTTGGGGAACAGGGAAGAAAAGAGAGAGGTGCTCCTACTGCTGCTGCTACTGTCTTTTATCTCCCTTGGCAAGGGGCTTGGGACCTCCTGGAGAAATGGGGAGGCTGCCCCACAGGGTACCAGCTGGCACCTACAGGTTAAGGCAAACAAGCCAGTAGAGCATGTTGAAGAAGAAGAAGGAGACTGGGAAAAGAACTCGAGAATAGTCATCCAGGCGGTAGATATGGATGCAGAGGCAGCCCTGCTGCCAGGTACTGCCCTCACAATCGGGGATCATGCAGAAATACTTCTTGAAACCCTTGTTGCACTCATCACAGCACCTGATGCACATGTTGCAGGGACCCTGGGGGATACCTGGGCTGGGGGGCCGCTGGGCTGAGCTAGACAGGTGTTCTTCTCCATCATTTCCTTCAGAGGTGACAATCTCACACACAGATGCTTCCTGCTGCTGACGGGCATGGGCGCGGGCACGAGCACAGGTGTGGGCATGGGCACGGCTACAGAGAGGAGGCTGAAATGGACGGGGGGGGGGGGGAGAAGATGACAGTTAAGGGAATGCATGTCAAGCTTAAGAGAACTGCCAAAGGATTTGATAGAAACTCTTTCCTTGGCACTCTGTTTCTTGGCCTCCCAGGACACCCAATATCACATTAGTGGCTTGATTTCCCTCACCACCCCCATAATCCCCATCACCTGGAAAGCTGGCCACCCATGTGTCGTAACCCTAGTGCCCTTGCTGCTACGATTCCACACTCCAAAGCCTTGCCAACACTCCCATACCCAGGTCATACATGGCGGAGTTTCGGAGAAGCATGGGCTTTCTTCTGGTTGTAGGTCAGGAAATTGAGCGCAGCAAACTCCACCAGAGCACAGAAGCAGAAGATAAAGCAGATTGCAATATAGAAATCCAAGGCTGTGATATAGGAGACACGTGGGAAATTCTTACGAGAAAAGGTGCCTAGGGTGGTCATGGTAAGCACAGAGGTGATGCCTGCAAGAGCAAGGAATAAACGGAGGCTAAGCTCCTGATCCATATATTACACACATAAAGGACACCACAAGAAGGCAATTCTTTGTGCTGATCAAGGTTAGTCACAACTACATGCCTATGCTTATGCCCTTATTCTCTTACCTAAAGAGGTCCTGGCTGGGGCAGACTCCTTCTTGATCCAAAAGGAAACCCAGGAAAGCATCGTGGTCACAGAAGAAGGGACGTAGTTATGAAAGGCAACAAAAGAAAAACGCCTGCTCACATTAAAGAAGAACATCATGACCATGAATTCGCCTGAAAGACATAAAAAAAAAACACATTTTATTACAGAATTGATGCGATGTACAATAAGATATGCACATTAAAGTTCCCATTATCCTTATGGGATTCCCTACCACTGTCCTAGGACAAAGACATCATTTCAGTGCAACACACATAGGACCAGAGGGCAGACTTAGTGCAATATCCATGATCAATTGAGAACTAAGTTAAAGCAAGAATATTAACTACTTGTTAGTCCACTGTCCCACTCCCCAAATCTGTCTTTCCAGGGTGTATGAAAGGGAAAAAATCAGTCCTCTTCATATCAGGGCCAAGGAGCTGATGTCCAGATGGCTGGCTGAGGCATTCATTCCCACTGAGTGAGTATACCCATGTGTAGTCTATAGTACCACAGCATGACACCTAGACTGATGGCCCTCATAACATATTTTCTCAAGAGACGTGCTGAGGATAGTGTACTGTAACGGAGAAAGGGTAGAATACTTTTGGCAAAAGCACAGAATGCACATTTACTGCTCTACTGGTGGCCAAAAGCAAGTGCTCTCCTTCCTCCCAAACTTCTGGTAGCACTCTATTCCATGAGCTACAGAATCAAGACTACACTCTGTCAGCTGACATTAGAAGCCCACTGTCAGCCCTTTTGATATCATGTCTGCAGAGGACACATCTACAAGATGAACTGAGGTTGTCACATTCACTTGGGTATTGGATCCTGCTGTTGCTCTCACCTCTGACAACAATGGCTCCTATAGAACCAGATGAGAAACTACATCTCCAGTGATCATTTTCTGCTGCACTCTTCGTGCTACCTTATGCTTTGAAACAACTGTCCCAAACACTCTGAAGGCTATCATGACTCCACAACTTGTTGGGTTTTTCTCTGAGCCCAGAACATCACTTTTCATTCTCAACATCCCACTGGATTTGTAATAGCTCTAATCTTGGCTCTTTTGTGAAGCTGATCTTCAAACTCCCACCTCAGTGATGCTATAGAATTCCTCCTTGTCCTTGAATTAAGTAGGCTTTTAAATTCCTCCAAGGCAGGACTCATGTGGGCCCTGCAGCTTAGCCCCTACCCATCCAAGCCTGAAACAGCCAGTGGATGCTCAGTGATCCTTGCTACTGACAGGCAGCAGAATTGGAAAGCAGACCAGAACATCAGTCTGTCCATTAAAGGGAGGTCCCCTACCCAGAAGGTATGGGTGAGTTGGAGCTGTATGAGAGCAACCTTTCTTTCCTACTCACCTTGGCAACACTGATACTCAAGGAGCAAGACTTCTCAGATTCTCTGGAAAAATGCAAGGAAGTGGCCTGGGGTCAGTGGAAGACCTGTTTTCAGAGTAGTAGCTTTGGGGTTAGAACTCCAGAATGGCATGAGGGACCATCTAACACTTGCCTATTGGCAAGTATGTATTGATCAAATTCCTCATTCTCTTGCCTGGGGTCTTGATTACAATTTAAGACTCCTCTAATTGGCTACAACTCTGCCCCCTGAAAAATAGTTGAGTTTATATATGTTGATTGCAAAGGAGGTTTGTTATTCTATTGCACTTGTCTACTTTATAATTTACTATGGTCAGAAGAGAACCTTCTCTACTTATCAAGAGATGGCATTTTCATTTTGGAGGTCAAGAGAAGGATACCAACATACACTGTCTACTTCACAAGAAACACAGAAACGTAGGTAACTGAAGAAAGATATTGAGTTGAAGACCCAAAGCAAAACAAAATTAAAGATGCTTTCTGCTCTCTAAACCTGCTATCATAGAGACACAATTAAAAAGACTGTGTCAACCCAAAGCTTTGAAGAAAAAGGGAAAAAAAAAGAAATGAGGGCTATACAGACTACAATAAAATATGATACAGGGCTGCAATGATATTACTGGTCTTTTAATGTTGACCTCTTAAATAGTACCTGGACTTAATGTAAGTCATATGGTTCTAGTGGGAAAGAACTAGGTCTGACAGAAGTTCCAGAGATTACAATTTCAGATGAACATGGAGGGTTTCCAATGGGCAGAGCTATGTAAAAAAGGAAGAAACCTCCTTAGAAGATACTGAACTCCTTCTGATCACTAAAAGATTCCAGTAGAGGCTCAACAACCATCAGTAGAGGATGATTTACTCACGAGGTTTTGAGACCCTCCTGAAGTAGAAATTCTCTGGCTCAAGGCCCAAGATGGCCTGAGTAGCATGCTATCACTGTGTTCTGAACCCTGAGGAGATGAGCACAGAAATCTGCTGCAGACAGAGAGAACTTCCCTAAGGGCTAACCAGAAGAGTTTGAGACCAATTCCAAAGATAACTCTGACACTGGAGAAACTGTGGATCAAGAACAATCTTCAGCAGAAAAGAAAGAAGACCTCCACTTTTCTTCCCAAGAACCGTCCTCTCCTCCCAGAGAGCTGGTGCTTACCTACTGTTATTGCTTTGGTGATGATCCTGGCTCTGGGGCTTTGTAGTCACTAGGGCACCATTTTGAAACAATGTACAACCATCTACTAAACGGAACCACTAGTGACTTGAAAGCCCCTGGGCCTTGTTTTCTCTGCCACTTTTGATGATGGGTCTCCACCTACCTGGAGAAACTGAGATGCAGAAAGCTAAGAGGCAGGCCCATGGTTAGCTGGCTCAAGAGCAGGGATCTCAAGTTGAAGACAGTAAAATTGCTTCCACAGGAGCCCCAGGAAAAAGGAAAGTAAGGCAGCCCTTGGCACCTGCCTAGTACTGTGCAAGCAAAGCTCCAGCCAAATGAGCATGAGCTGTCCTTCACGCAGTGACCAACTCAGTGAAGCAAGAGAAAGTGTTCTGTCTAGCCACAAGGAAGCAACACAAAATGCTTCCCATGACAAATGGCTGGTTGGTGACTTGCTCCATCAACATTCTGGAAACAATGAGGGCAGTGCCTCCATGCCCTGAACTTGGTCAGTACGTGTGAAGAGGGTTTCCAGGAATGCTCTGGGAGCTACCCTGGGGAGGTCCCTTGGCTCCTCATTCAGATCACCTAGGAACACAAGCAAAGATGCTCACACCTAATTGGGAGCTGAAAGTTAGGAGACCCAGAACCCTCCCCTTTCGTCCTTCTTAGTGGAAAGATCAGAAAACCAATGATTTACAAGTCTACAGTGAATCTGCCGTGAAACCTTTAACAGCAAATTGTATTTTCCATAGCTGCTCCTTTAAGACTAAAGTCAGTGTAGCAGCCATTGTAGCTGCTGTAACTCCCTCCAGACTACCCCATCTTTTGTCTAGATGTCATTAGACCTCTAGCCTCTACCTCCCATTAGGGCAGACCCTGCTTCCCATTCAATCGGCTCAGACTGGTTCTGGATATGAAGAACTCACATGAGCACCATTCCCCAAAGTCATCCAAGGAGGTCAGTGTTTCAACAAAACCCTTGAAACTGAGGGGTCTGCATGACAAAACTAATTGCAAATTGTAAGAACAACAAAACTTTACTTACCTAAAGTCTCAGGGGACTTGGCAAAGCACTTACTTCTTTGCAGATGAGACTGAGACATACTGACAAAGTCTCAGTTTCCTCTGCAAACAGTTGTAAGTGCTTAGCATTTACAAGACAGGAGCCATGTTCTCCGCGGTATTTCCACAGGATGTTACAACAACATTTGTACAGACAGCATTCTCCAGTCAGACCTACCACTCTCCTGGGCCTCTGCCTAGCCCTGGCTCCCATGGAACACTTACCAGCTGGGGTTGAGATAGTTTCAGTTTTGTTGCTCACTCCTGTAAAATCAAACTGGAAGAGCTTCCAGGAGTTCTTTTCATTGATTTCAAGCTTGAAATTGTCCCACTTGTAGATCATATCACTTTTAGGATAGGAAACTGGAAAGTAACATGGGAAGGAGGTTCACATCAGACTGGGAAGCCCAGCAGAGCACCCCACCAGTATGGAGTTAGCCTGATTAATGCCTCAGAGTCCTGACTCTGGCCTCACCAGCTCTTGGAATTTGCCTCTCTTACCTGGTTGGTGAGGTCCATTCGATAAGTACATTTAACGAGCATTCTTTAGAACCAAGCCCTGGGCTGCAAATACAGAGATGAACAAGGCATGAACCCTGCTCAAGTGTTCACATTTCATTGAGTAAAACAGCTGTGATTTTTTAACTGCTCTGAAAACCTCTCCTCATGGAGCAGGGAGAAAACAAAGTTGGGAAAGATCACTTTGGTACACACTCAGAAAAGATGTCATAGAACAGGTAACATTCTGTTAAGTCTTGAAAGGCAAGAAAACATTATCTACATGGATGAGGCTGAGGGGTGAGGAGCAGCACAGAAAGGTGAAATGCTTAGTTTATTGCAAAAATAGCAAAATTTCAGAAAGGCTAGCTTAAAGAGGATGAGTTGTACAGGAGGAGGTAGGAGGAGCAACTTCAGCAAGAGTCTTGAGGGTCGTTTTAAGGTCCATGAGAGTTAAGAAATGATTCAAAATGAAGAAGTGACCTGGCCTAGATAAGACTTCCACTAGGTCACTCTGGTTCCTATGTGAGCAGAACATGTTAGCAAGTTGGCCAGTTATGAGTGGGGTGAGTGCAGTAATCCAAGCACAGCAAAATGAATGAAGGCAGGAGTCAAAGCTGTAATAGCCAGGATGCAGAGAAATAGAAGCAATCAATAGAGATTTGGGAGGGAATACCAATAGGGTGTACAGATTGATTAGGTATAGGAGGTTAGGGAGAGGGAAGCATCAGTGTTGTTGGCTTGGACAACTTGGGTGGGTAATGGTGCCCTTTAATGAGACAGATGAAAACACAGAAGCAACACATTTGTTTTGGAGGTAGGGGTTCGGAGGAGACAATTTAGTTTTGACATGTTCAATTTTAACATGAAGATGATGCAAAAGACCAAGTGGAAGGTGACAAAGACCTAAACCCAGGTAGTGAAAATGGAAGGTGAAGAGAAGCAGACATACTTGAGATAAACTTCAGAAGCAGATGGTGGACTTCAGGAGGGTGCAAGGGAGAAGGAGGAACACAACATAAGGCCCAGGTGGAGCAACACAGAATTGTAGGCAGGAAAGGAGATGAAGATGGGGAATGTAGGACGGAGACCCCGCACAACCTTTGCACCATCTCAGCAGAAAAGCAAAAGCAGAAAAAAAATGCAAAGGGCAAAGATGAGAAAAAGAAGGGCCCAAAATATCTCTGGGTCCCCAGAAACCTAAGAAGGTACTCACAGCTAGAGAAAGACAGAGGGCAAGAGTGAGAATCCATTGGGAATTTGAACATTTGGAGTGAACATCCCGCCTCAATGGTCATCCTGGAAGGGAGAAAGGAGCCTCATTAGGCAGGCTCTGAGAACTTAGGTAACCACATAACTTCGATCTTGGGGCCACCACCATTGATTGGCAACAGTAGAATTTAAGACAAAAAGTTCAAAGTAGAGAAAAAAAAGAGGAAGAATAGCTTGAGTGTATCTGACTAACTTGGGCTCCATCATCAGAAAAGTGTATGCACCAACAGACTTTCATTTCTTGCTCAAATCAGTTCCCATAACCTGGAAACATTCTCATATTCTGTATTACCTTCCCATTCCAACACCCATGACAAATAACCTTCTTCCAGGCATTTCAGTATCTAGCCTGGTCTCAGGTACCTTTTCAATCGCTGTGTTGCTGCTCCGCCTGGACAATTCCACCACCGTGGACGTGTCTTTACATCCAGTGTCCACTTGGGATGGAATTGTCCAGGCAGTGCAGTCATACTGGTACATTCTAGTTGAAGAGCCAAATAACTGGGTACCAGTCCCAACTCTGCGAAAAACTTGGTGTGTAGCTTTAAGCAACATCTTTTTGTTTTTGAGGCCTTGGTGTCTATTTCTGTAAATGAAGAGGTGGTGCACATGGTCTGGGAAAGCTGTACAGGCCCTTCAGAATATCATTCAGGATGAAATCTTTGCCCATGTTTCTTTGGCTAAAATTTCTAGACGGGGAGGGTGAATCCCATGAGGTGAGATGCCAGAGGCTTGACATACCTAATTGTGTACAACACCTTGCCATCCTTGTGGATGCGGACCATCTGGTTGGGCATGGTGATCTCATGCTCTTGGGTCCTCTTAGAATTCCTAAAAAAGGTGTCCGGGATCCACAGCTGGCTCACCACATTGCCATTCAGAACAAGAGTCTCAAAGGTGTCATTATAACGAAGGCGTTCATCATACCACGTCTGGAGGAAGATGATGTCAATGGTGTATTCCTGGCAGGAAGGACAGAAAACCACATACTTGGGGCTGAGCACACAAAGGACATCCACATGCAAGTATATTGTGTTTCACTCTCTAACCTGGAATCCTAAAGCCAATGTGATGTTATATAGAGAGCACTGGACTAGGAAGCAGGAGTGGAATAAGGTCCATCCTCTCTGCCCAGGAACACTTCCAATGTCATGACCAGAAAAGACTCAGAAGGTACCAATTCAAATGATTCCAGCCAGATCAATTATGCCTTGCTTGATCACCCTAACAAGGAGATCTAGGTCCCCACATCATGAGGCAGTTAACACATAGCAGAACAACAGAAAGGCTTGCCTTTAAATGGAGCAGACAGAACAAGTCTTATTCCTGCTCCAAAGAACAGATCTCCAGAAATGGCATTTCATTGGCACTAAGATGCCCTTTACCCACATTTTGGAAACTAGGACACATCTTATAATTGATACATATTTGTAATGCAGCATTTCTCCTTGGTTTAACGAACTGTGATTTAAGTTGTCTGTACATCTTAAATGAAAGGCAACTTTGAATCAAGGGAAGGCACTTGAAGATTGCAATCATGTCTTCCTGAGTTTTTTTTTTTTTTTTTAGAATAGACATTCATGACTAAAAGCTTTCAACTTCTTCAACCTAAGCAGTTATTTTAATATTAGATCTGTAAGGACTACATAGGTGACTTTTTGCCAAATATAATAATATTCTTAAGCTTTCAAGGGTCCATAGGTATCTTGTAGAACTTGGTCCACAGTACTACTGCTCATTTTACACTGTGTTTACAAGATCAAGCATTATATTCTGGAATGATTCTGCCATTTGCAAAGAATGTGTTGCCCAGTAGAATGGTAAACATGACTACAGTCCATACCATACAGCTGAATAAAATGAAATGTAGAGTTTCCTCCTGGTCATATCATAGTAAAGACTACTGAATGAATGTCATTGAATTAAGGAAGATAATGGTTTTCATGTGTATAGAAAATCAATATCAATCCAACAATGGTGTGAGTGAAATTTGGTGATCTTTAAAGGTCTATGTTACCTCTGATGTTCTGGATTCTGGGATCTTTATCAGCACATGCTTTATGGGATAAGACGTGTGTTGGGATAATCAGTTTTTTCCCAATTAGTGACATTACAAACAACTGAATGTGCCCTAGAAAGTGTTTCAAGGGAATATGGAAGGAGACCTGTTCATCTCTAGTGGTAAGTAGTCCCACTTTATTTTTTCCTGTAGAACTATTTTCACTTCTAATCAAAATTTTAAGTAAATGTTCATGTGACCTTGCATATTTACCCTCCATCTCCTTTATTAAGTGGTGGGAGGGGACTGAAAAATAATTTATAAAAGACTCAAATTGCCATGTGTCCAGAGTTGACGTTGTGACCCTTCATCTACCAGTAGACAAAGGTCCCATGTCATTGATAGACCCTCTGGCATCCTCCTAAGTTTGCACAGAGAAAAGCAGCATAAAGTTTGACTGTAGGAGTTTTCTATTTCCTAGAAGAAAGTAATATTCCCAAATCACTAACAGTGTAGGAAGACACACTTCATCTAGAAACAGGCAGGCACTGGTAGCTTAATTGCATGGGTTGGGCTCAGCACCTCATCGTGCTCACACAGGGCTGTGGAGCTGTGACCCCATCCAAATTAACACACTCAAAATACCCACATTTCCACAGCAAATCAATGATCCCAGCTCAAAACCATTTAAAAATTTTAAAGGTACACACACCTTTGGTTGTATACAGCAAAGTTTCCCCTGTCAGCTTTTATTTGGGAAGCATAGATGTTAATTAACCTCAATCCTTCATTCCCCTGAATTATATTAAAAAATGAAGTGCTTTGAGTCACAACAGAAATGTCTATATAGTCTGATGTTTTTTAAACGAGAATCTTTTTTTTTTTGCTTTGCTTTGTGTTTCATATCAAATAAGTGCCTGTAACCTTTGAATGCGTGTGTGCATATGCATAGATATATGCATGATTATTTGGTCTCCGGATACTGTCGGTTCCATAAAGTATCTGTTAAACATCAAGAAGGATGTTTAATAGGACAAAGTATGAATAGCCAGATACTTGCACCCCTGGTATAGAAAACAGATCGCAATAGAATTTCACACAACTTGAACAGCAAGTACCAGAAGTACATCATGGCAGAACTTTAAGGGCTAGCCTACCTTGTGTATTTTACAGGTAGAGAAACAGGCTTGGAGAGATAGGGAACTGTCCAAAGTCACACAGCCAAAGGCAGCACAATGGCTTTGCCACTGAAAGCACCATGACCTTGCCCTAGGATGGCCCTTACTTGCCCCCAATCCCTTTGAATATCAAGGTTCAATTTTCTTCTGCAGAATCTCCATGTCCTTTCTTTGAGTTCCTATGTATCAAACAATAAATACCAGCCAGAAATCCACAACACTGGAGGCCAGTAGAGTCCTGAGGAAAGAGATCAAGAAAATTCCTGCTGCCCAAATTGATGGAAGCCAGAAAAGGAAGGAAAAACTGAGAATGTTCTCTGGAGTATGTCAGGGAAGCAGACAGAAAGAGGTGGCAGAGGCTGGCTTCCATTAATGTGGGAGCCCTTGATCCTGTCCCATGACATCCCACCCTGCCTGCCTTCAAATGGCCTTCAAAGTGTTTCCACATTACCAGTGGCTGGCACTTCCAACTTGGCCAGCAGGGTCTCCTTCATAGCCAGGCCACATAAGCTGCTTGACAACCGGTGGGAAGCCTTCCCCTCCATACTCATGCTGTGCTCATAGTCTGCTATAAAGTGTTTCAAATGGGCATTTAATTTCAATTTAACAAGACACCAATTTTAAGTTCTTTACACATCAACCAGTAACTAATGTTTCCATTTTTTCCCCAGTTTGACAAGGGAGGTTGGGGATGTACATTTCTTTTAGCTCAGCTGAAACTAGAAATTTAGTATTTAAGAATTGGCTTAATTAGAATCACCTACAATAATTTCCACAGCAAGAAACAGTGTCAGCAACAGTCCCAGATTGGTCACTGCCTTTTAAACTCATACTGGGTGTTTTGAAAAGTTTAGCTAGGAGATTGGCAGAAGCAATTTATTAAAATCCAACTTGCATGGGCTCAGGTTTCTTTCCCTGTATTTTTTACATAATTGACCAAAGGGTGCTGAAACTCCCCTTAAACAACTATACTGACAGCATAATTAACACTGGGACTCACAATATTACTGATAGGCTCAGCTGCCACAAATATTAAGATGGGATCCTTAATGGTAGCTTTGGTTGCCAAACAGACTGTCATGAGGATTCAGAGAAAAGAATGCTTTGAGTGCTGGCAAGTTCTGTGGCAGAGACAATCATTAAGTGCACCAGGTAAAAGTAGACTATATAACAACAGGAACTTCCCACAGCTTTCGAGAATGATTTGGAACTAGGTAGAAACTGAGAATTCTAAGGGAAATTTAATACCACTTGAGGGTATTAAAAGGCACTTGGCCTAGCCTAAAGCACCACCTTGCTCGCCAAAGAAAACCAAGCTGTTGGTTCCCATTTTGGACCAGTTCTCTGTCCCACATCAAGTGTGGTGACTGCTGGGCTATTAGACTGTACCCTCCGAGCTTGCCAGTTATCAGCATTTCCTGGCACCTCAGGTAAAGCTGGTGCTGGCAGCATTAACAGGTGTGGAACAAAGAGAGATGGGACAATCAGCAACTATGAGTATGGCTACTGCTGCTCTGCTGCCACAAGAATGCTTGTGGATGATAGATTTTGATTTCCCCAAATTATATTTTAAACAAATTGTGAATATTTTAGCCACAATTTTTCCAGTACTCTATCAGTTTTACAAGACACTCCTTCAGAAAACAGAACAAAGCAACTTAGGAGCATTTGCTCCATTTATCAATGTTTATGTTCTCTCTACTTAGTCAAAGAATTTAGCCACTGAGTGAAGGTGGACAACTTAAAAAAGGAAAGAACAAGCCAGCTTGCTGGTATTTAGACTGGCTCACTAAAGGATAGGGGCCAAAGATTGGTACAAGAAAATACATTGAGCCACTTTCCCCATCCTCAACCAATAACCTCAAAAGTCCATTTCCTATTAAGAGTAGAGAGTGGCTAAAATGGTGGGACCACAAGACCTCAACATCTGGCTCTTGCTCTAACAGGAACATAATGACCATGGGTTGTAGGCAGACTTCAAGATGAATGGCAACAATTTACCTCTTGGTGTTCATGCTCTTGTGTAATGCCTACCACATGACTATGGGCTGTAACTAATGGCTTGCTTCTAATGAACAGAATACAGTGGGATATCACTCATAAAGTCAGATTACAAAACATTGTGCCCTCAATTTTGAGCACCTTTTCTCATACTTTCTCGCTCAGAAGGAAATCAGCTGCTATATTGTGAGCAACTATTGGAAAGTCCCAAATAGCACTGAGGAAAGCTTTTGGAACATAGCTAGAAAGGAATTGAATCCATCATCCATGGGAGTCTGCTTGGGTGTGAACCCTCCCTCAACTGGTCTTTCAACTGAGACCTCAGTTCCAAACGACACCTTGACTACAGTCTTGTTAAGACCCCGAAACAGAAAACTCAGCCAGGCCATGCCTGAATTCCTAGAACATGCAAGCTATGACGTAATGACTATTAGTCATTTTAACACACTATGTTTTGGGGGTAATTTGTTACATAGCAATGCATAAAAACACTGTGCTTTAAGAACCAAATTGCCAAACACAGTATCACAGGGGGAGCCTCATTCTTACACTCACCTTTATAAACATTTCAATCTTCCATGAAGGTTACTTACTTTGGGGTGTCTATTTTCAAAGCCCATCTCAAAGTCAAGGCTCTGAACTCAAGACACATGGCGCTTGTTGGCTACTAGTGGGTATGTTAAAACAGTACACACCCTTGCCTATGCTTATGATGGAATTGGTTACTATAGCCTTCCTCATTGTCAGGCTCTGCAGATGTAAGTGGCTTTTGCAGAGCATCTGTCATAATTCTTTTGGTTAGCTAATATATACTGAGTCCTTGGTATACAGTTCATAGTAGAGACAGGAAGGCAGATATAGAGCAAATAATTACCATGAAATTAGAGAAGATCAAGCTAAGTATAAGCTAGAAAAATGTGAGTATACAGAGAGGAATGTAGTATATGAAGGGAGCAATTAATAGTTGTGAGAGTCAGGGAAGTTGCCATAAACAAGATGTCAACTGAGGTGTACCCTAAAGGAGAAGGTTTTTTTGTTAAGTAGTTTTTTAGTTGTAGATGGACACAATATCTTTATTCTTATTTGTTTATTTTTATGTGGTGCTGTGGATCAAACCCATGGTCTCACATGTGTGAGGCAAGTGCTCCACCACTGAGCTATAACTCCAGCCCAAGGAGAAGACTTTTGACAAGTAAGAAAGTAGAGCAACCACATCTCAAACTGGAAATTGCTGGGACAAAGGTTCAGCTCATAGGTGCAAGGTGGTCTGGGAATGTCCATATTTTCTAGCATGATCAGAGCATGTGGTCTCTGAAGGTGAACAGGAAAAGAGCCACAGAGGGCCTTGATTGCTGGACCAAGGGGGTGGACTGCATGCTGTAAGTAGGGTCAGGCCTTCAGGAGGCACAGCATTAGGGAGACTGGCTTGACAGGAAGATTGGGGTAGGTGAACACCTTTGCATATTTTAGGTGGGAGATGATAATGGGTAAGTGACAACAGTACTGACACTAGGATGATACCAGTGGAAAAGGAGGGAGAGAAGGAACTAGAGCAAATTTAGAGACACGGGTATAGAACTTGTAACTACAAATGTAAGTCATACAAATAAGGATCAGAAAAAAAGAGCCGTTCTGTTGTAGTGTTTTATTATTTTATTTTGAATAGAAGACTGGAAGACGTAATCATAGTTCTGAAGGTCCTCTTCAGGCAGCAAGGGACTTACCTTTTCCAACCTCATTCTCAAGTTAGCAATAGTTAAAATGTCCCCCTCCCTCCCCAAACAAACAAAACTCTTAGAGTTGTTACAGAAAAATAGAGTAAGCAAGTACAAGTGGCAGGCCCCATAGATCATCCCCTGGGCTAGAAAATACTAAAACCAAAGGTCAGTACTCACCATGTCCAAGATGGAAAGAGGGCCAAGGCTATTGACAGAGACCTCAACAGTGACCACAGTGGGCTTCTCTATAAGGGAAACAGAAGTAGAAGTCAATAAGTGATGAATAGGAGCATCGGGCAGGGGAGGGGTGGTCAGAAACCAGGAAAGAGAACCAATTCTAGTTCTTATTTGTTTTATCATTCCATGAGTCAGCTCATATACTGTTAAGGGTTGAGCACACACCTTGAAAATCAGTCATTTTATGGTTGGAAAATCTGAGGGTGAAGAGAAGGAAAGAGATTTGATCAAGGTCAATGGCCTTCTTACATTAGAATTAGTATTTCTTACCTGATGGGTAAGCAGCAGATGTTCCTATCTATGCACATAGCACCCTAATCTACACTCCAGGCCCAGGCTTCACTACTATACCTACAACCCTCCTTTCCTCCAGAAGGAAAAGAATTTGTTCTGCTACTCACCACCAATGCCAGGGCGCAGTTTGTGGTCATAGTTACTCAGGATGGTGTTCAGAATGCGAGAGGCTTCTGGAAGTTTGCCAGATGGGCGCCCAATCACAGAGGCAGTAGGCTTTGTTTCTTCAGAGAGGAGCTTCCTGCTAGGAGGCTGGGGCTGGGGGCCATAGACAACATCACGGGTAGAGTCTTCATTCTCCAGGGCAGTCTGAGGTCCTTCAACCCTAGAATATACAAACAACAAATGAAGCTCTGCCTTCCACTCCATAGGGGCCCCAGCTGGTGACTCTTGAGACAGAAGCAAACGAAATATTTGTAATGCAAGGCTTAATTAATAACTGTTAATGGAAAATTATGAGGCGCTAACAGATTATACTGGTTAATTCAATTTAAATTTTGTTTCTCTTTGGGGACTTTTTATGCTATTTCTCTTTTATAATATTTTAGTTTTTTAACAAAGGGAATTTGGTGTAAAATGAGGTGGGGGGCATATTTTACAAGTTCTGGCCTGGGTTTCCTGGTTGTCTGAGCAGGACCACCTGGGAGGGAGGAGCAGGCTCAGGGCCAGGGCTACTGAGGAATGCTTGCAAAAGTTGGAACAGCCTCTCCCAGAGAGGACCAGAAAATTGTGGGAATATTCTGCAGTTCTGTGGGTTTTTAATACATACTGTGATGGGGGCAGGAGGTGGAGGAAGGAATACTCAAGAACAGATGTTATCCAGGAAATGATGGCCAAACAAGAGTCTGTCCTGAGGGCCACAGCCAGCAGCACAACAATAATAATGACAATACTACTGCAAATAAAGACCATTTTTTAAATTAAAAAGCCATCTTCTAAAGTATGAAACCCCTATGGTGTTTTGTTGGAAGTGAGGTTAGTACTGACTTTGCGGAGAGGTAGTAATAAATAATAAAGGGCCCCAGGGGGATGCAGAGGTTCTGGTCATATTCCAGTTCTTGACCTGGCTTTCCATACACCACTATGGTCATTTTTCTGACAAATCATCAACTGTACACTTTTAATTTGAGCACTTTTATGTATATAGGTTGTAATTCAATAAAAAATAAATAAAATTAAAATTCCCCCTATGCTAATATATGGATCTTATTTGGATCCTGTTTTTTAAAAGCAGGTAATTAAAAAAAATCCTCTTTGTGTCACAATAGGAAAGCTTTGAACACTGTGTAGTTGAGGCATAAATTATTCTTAACATGTTTGGCTTAATAATAGTCTTTTCTTATGTTTGTGATTTTTTAATGACTAAAACAATTACATATGAAGTGATATGATGTCAGAAATTTGTTTCAAAGTAATCTAAGACAGAAATGGTGGTGGGTGGGGGGGCAGACAAAATAAGTGGCTGTGAGTTCAACAATGATAAAGCTAATAATGGGTATGTGAATTTTCAGTCTACTATTCCCTCTACTTGTGTGTATCTTTGAAAAATATAATTAAAAGCTTTTTAAAAAGCCATCAGTCCAAATTAATGTGGATGTTGGAAAGCAAGAGAGTGTTTTCTTTGGGGGAGGAGATTTACAGGGAGGGGACACTGCAAATGGGAGGTTGCTGCTAATGTTCTATTTCACCATCTAGGTGCTTGTTACATGAGCATGTTTACTTTGTGGAAATCCACTGAGCTGTTCAGTGATGATTTCAATGCTTTCGTATTTGCATATTACACTTCCAAAATGAGTTTTTTCAAAAAGGCATCAGGCATCTTTCTATGCAAAATAAGGGGTAAACAAAGCAGGAGACTTGGGCCCCTGTGTTGCAGACCAAAGGACTGCCAGATGCGTTTTTCTGCAGTATTTCAAGCTCTCCAAATGGCTTCACTGGCATACAGATGTGCTAAGCTAGTGCCATTTTTTTTTATGTCTGAAGTGGCTAATTCCTATTGTGGATTAGGAAAAGCAGTTTCCATTTTCAATTGCAATATCCAGAAGATGTCTTCTTCCCTGAGGCTTTTCAGTTCTCTTGGGCATGGGTGCCTGAAGGCTGACCCCTCAGTCCTCTGAAGAGATAAGGGTCAGTGTTCTTTCTCTATCCCTGTCTTTCTCCCTCCCTCTCTCTTAGAGGGTGGAGGGAAAATGGAAGCCCGAGACCCTGTAGACCCTGTAAAATAAGCTACGTGGCTGGAAACATGGCTGGGAACATGGCGCAATCCTCCCAGATGTCTGAAATCTATCAACAGGAACCCCACCCCCCAGGTCTAACAGTGCAGAGACAGATAAAAATGCTATCAGTGGGATCACCAAAACCCTCCTGCCCCTAGGCTACATTCGCAAGGAAAATGATATCAGAGGGGCCTGAGGTTGCTTCAATCATATAATTAGCTTTTGCCAGTTAAAACCAACAAACTAACAAATAAATAAACAATGTCATACTGGGATCTTTGGGGGTTAAGGGATGCCTGATAATGCATACCTTTCTCCAATGAACCATTAAGCTCACTTTCACAGCTAGAAAAAACAAAAACTTGAAAAACGCTGTACACTGGACTAGTGGGATTTTCCATGGGAGTTCTTCCTTCAAGTATCCACATCTCTCCAAAATGGAGCCAAATGTCTGCAAGCCCCTTACCCCAAAGCTGGTTGTGAGGGGGATGGGGGAAAGTGAGAAATAGTGCTGGATGTTTTTTTCTAAATCAGATCTTATTTTCATTTTACTGATGGAGAAACTGAGGCTTGGATGGAGGAAGAGCTGTGCACAAAGTCACAGAATTAATATGAGGCTGCGCATGGATCAGAGCAAGGTTCTCTGGTTCAGTAAGGCCCAGCACAACCCATTGTCACCTCCTCTTTCCTGACATCACAGGTTGCCATGCTGACAGTGTCTGCACGTCAACTGCTGCAGCCCTCCCCCTTGGAAGGGTAGTTTCTATCTCTCTGCTGTTTTCCTCTTATCCCCTTCCCTCCTTTGGCCCTCCCCCATTCAGCCATCTTTTGCCTCAGCCAGTCGCCATGTTAGCTGTCTCAAGTAGTCCAAATCCCATCTAGAAGGATGTGGATGACTGGAAATTCCTAGTACGCATTCAGAAATATTTACCAAGCCCCTGATGAGGCCAACCCCACCCTAGGGCACCAGTGAGCCAGCAGGAATCCGAGTCCCTCCCCCAGGAGTTAACGCAACCTGGGGTGGGGAGAGAAGCCATCCCCTTCTTCTCAATAGACATAAACAAGACACAAGCCCAGCACCATGGAGACTTCCAGAAAGCTCTACAGATCAGGAAACTCAGGAACTTGTGACAGTTCACACCCAGCAGGAAACCGTCTCAAAAACATGAAGCAGTCATGTTTCACCCCAAGAGCCAGAAATTGGAAACAAGCTTCTAGAAAAGTCCCAGGGCCAGGGCCAGGAGAAGGTGTGAAGGAAGAAGGCGACTTAGGGGAAACCTCAAGAGGGGAGGGAAGGAATGAAATCCAGGATCTAAACCACAGACCTCAGAGAGCAACATTCCTGGCCTCAGGCTCCAATCTGCTCACGACCCAGCAGGGTGCCTAGGGGTGAGGAAGGAAGGGGGGGGGGCTGCGGCGGAGGAGCGTAGAGGACAGCTGCGGCGGGAACCCTCAGCCTGAACCAAGGCTCATGCCTGGGACTGGCACCAAGAGGAGTGGCGGGATATGAAGCAAGTAAAGTCAGAGTTGCCTGGCGCCGTGCCCATACTCGGTAGACGCTCCGAGGGAAACCGTGAGCGAAAGAGAACAACTAGGCAACATTCAAACATTTTCAGCGCACTTACGCTCCCCCAGGCCGCAAGCCACCTTCCCCCAGGTGGCGAAAAGCCTGGCCTGGCTGGGCTGTTTCCCCCTCTCCCTGCGCAAGATTCCGCGAGGGAAAGAACACTCGCTTTCCGGCCGCCACAGTGCACTGGAGGGAGGGAATCTGGAAACCGAGTGGCCAGGGAACAGGGGTACCATCTTCCTTCCTAGTTCCCCCTCAGCAGCCCGGGACGGCCATCCTAGTGGGAATCGAGGGGAGGCCGGCGCGCGTCGAGGGGACGCCGGGGCCGACTAGTCTGTGCGAGGGCCGGGCAAAGCGGCCGCTGGCTCGAGGAACACTGGGTTGCAGGGGTCCCGGGAGCCAGCTGGGCTAGCGGGGGCAGGGAGCCGGGCGCGGAGGGCTCTTGGGTCCCGGGGATGGAGACTCACCTCGACTGGAGGAACAGGAATATGTTCAGGAGGAACAGAAGAACTTTCGGCAACATCGTGTCGGCACTGGCGCGACCACCTGTGTGCAGGTCGCAGCGCGCAGTCTGGCCGCACCGATAGCGGCGTGGAGGGTTTTGTTGCGCTCCAACTTTCACTCCGCCCACTCGCTTCGCCCCACCCCGCGCTCCCCACCCTGGGCCCGCCCCCAGCCCCGATGGAAATCACCGACGACGTGATCGCTGCCGCAGCGAGAGCGGCGGGCGGGGGGGCGGAGGCTGGAGCGGGCGGGGGAGAAGGAGAGAGCCCTGTCGCCAGAGGCCCCCCGCCCCCCACCGCCACCACTGCGGCGCTGCCAGACAGCCAGGGGCGGCGGGCGGGAGAAGGGAGAAGGAGGCGAGCGGGCGGCGCTCTGGCCCAGGCGGGAGGGGGGCTGGGAGGCGGCCCATGGCTGTAGCCAGGAAGGCGGCTGCAGGCTGGACCAGGCATGAGCAAGATGGGAGACTAGGTGGGTTTTTGCCTCCTCTGCGACCCCCTTCAGCACGCTGGCACGCCACAGGCTCCAACTAAGCCCTCAGGCCCTTCCTATCCACCACCTGTTGCACCCCATCCTTCCCTGGCCTCATGGATTTTCCCTCGTCTCACTCCACACCCAACAGTTCTTCAGAGCACATCTATTAGCCACCAAAGATAGCTGGGCAACTCATCACCTTCCTTGACACAGGGAAGAAGACAGATTTAGGAGTCTCCCAGTAAGTTCTGATCTAAGCTACTCCACAAAACAATTTCAAAGGCATTTGGGGTCCAGAAAGTACCTTCCAGCAGAGACATTCACTAGAAGATGTTTTTTGAACCCCGTCGACATTGACTCAATGTGACCCATAGTTCAGTCCATTGACCACTGTGGGCTATGTGTCAGAGAGACTATCTGTAGAGAAGAGATCTTGGAAACAGCCTCTCCAAGACACTGTGGTCAAATCTTTCTGGAGACTTAGCTCCAGATGCTATGAGAAGTCAGAAGACTCAGAGAGGCACCCCTGTTGGAGAGAATATGTCAAGAATCTCAAGCATCCTTGGACTTCATCTTTCCTGCATAGACCCTACTGATTCTGATGGAAGACAAAATCATTGCAAGTTGATACCCCATACTAGCCGCAGCTTCACCTGTTGCTCTAGAAAGGGCTGTGTGCACCCCAGTTTGCATGGTAACTCCACCTCAGAAAGGCTTTGCTGTACCATGCTAATCTAATACACCATCTCCACTGCCCCCCACCACCATATCACTCTGCTTTGTCATCTTCACAACACTGTCATCTTCACAACACTGCTCTCTAACTGATGATATTCCTGGGCATTTCTTTGTGAGCTTATTTACAAAGGATCTCCGTCACTCAGGTAATTCAGTGACAAACATACACATGCACATGCATATGCACACACAAAAAATTTGTCTATATAGGCATGCTGCATAACCATCCAGCCTACCAGGAGTTGGGGCTCCCTTCAGGTCTGGGACAAGAGAGAAATTCCTGCACGACACATTTAGGCTTCTTTGTATTCACTTCATAGTTCTCTGTCAGAGCCAGCGGTGACAGGCATGTGACTGGTGCAATTTCACAGGAACCTCCCCACACACAGAAGAGCCCCAGGCCTTTTATAATGATTGGATATTGCCATCTTGAATTTCTCAATAATGTTTGAATGAGTGGCCCTGTATTTTTCTTTTTCCTTCAGCCCTACAAATAATGCAGCTGGTTTTGCCATACATAGAAATGGTATACAGTAGTCAACAGGCAAACACAGAACTTCCTGAGCCTATGAAAAAAAAAAAAAAGCTGTCATCTCATCAGCACCAGGCTGCTGTGGAAAATGATAAGCCTCCACTGACTGTGTCCAGCCTTGAATTTGGAGTGTCTTCTATGCGGGTCTCTTCCTCCACTGTCACTTGAGCTCCAGAACATGATGACTTGTCTGATTTGCCTGTATTCCCTGGAACCAGCCCAGTGCCCAATGACCACTAGGCATCATAAGCATTTGCTGAACTAGAGACTGAATCCTAGGCAGCTAGACTAGGCAAGTACTTACAACTCCTTCGTCAGAGGATCACATTCACCTTCCCTGTACAGGCTGACATTAATCACACTCTTTCCATCTTCCTTATTAACCTCACCCATGGGGTATCTATGAAGGAGGAACTACTGAATGTTACTGTTCTGTAATTATGCAAGTATTTGTTGTACCCCAGACTGCACCAGGCCTTGAATGTGGTGATGGAGGAATATACAAGGACTCAGGCACTGTCTTGGTCCTCATATGTTTTAAGGGAGGAGAGGGAACTTCTCATGAAAACCACTCGTACAAGAAAAAAAGCCAATGAGGGCAACAGAACTCTCAGAAGATATCTTGCATGAACCTGAGCCTGTTGCAGCAAGAGGAGGGGCTTAGTGGCAGCAGAATCACAAAGATGGACAATCCCAGAGTGTTGAAGGTGGAATCATGTGGTGCTGGACAAAGAATTAAGAGGAGTTTACCAGAAGTGTTTGCATGAAAAGGAATTGTGAGAGATAAAGCAGGAGCTCGCAGCAGGACAGGCTAGTGCCAAGTCCTGAACAGCAAGCTAAGACTACATGTTATCCTGTGGGCAATGGGGAATTTCAGAAGAGTATTGAACAGGGACTTTGCATGTCAGAACTGTGCTCCAAGAAGATCCCCCTGGAGGAGCAGACAAGAACATTTGCAAGAAGCAGAGGCTGGAGGAACCATGGGAAAGAGCAACACCAGGGACATCTAATTGATAGGATCAGCAGCTCATTAGATGGAGTAAGGCAGGAGGCAAAGGAAGACAGGGTCGCTGGAGAAGATTCACAGGGTCTTCCCAGGGGACTCAGGTGGTAAAAGAGAAATAAAACAGAAGGTGGAGGCAGAGCTTTGAGTCACTGCCATGAAAACAGTTCTGTGCATTTTTTCATTTTACTTTCTGATGTCCCATTATAAATAAACATTCACATTTATTGTCTAGTTCTGTGTACATACACATATGTGCATGTGTGGGAAGTATACTTCCTGTTGCCCAGCTATGTGTACTTCAAATATGCCTCTCTGAAACTTGATGTTCAGACTGGCTTTTTAAAAAATATTAATATGGCAGCTGTATTTTCATGATTAAACCAAACTACCCATTGGTTACAATAGCAGTGAACAGCCCCCTTGTCAGTGGTGAATTATCAAATTTAATAACCAACATCAAAACACTATGTGTCCTGTTATGTTTGTGGTTTAGGGATAAAATTGGAGCTCCTGGTCATAAAGTCTGTGTGTTGCTACCCCAGCTTGGCCCCAACTATACAACATGGGTGACATGCTTTTCTTATTAGACCAAGTGAAAAATGCCAACCCAGACAAGTCACACAAGACTCGTAGCTTATTAAGTACCTGGGCTTACTCGAGGCCAAGATGCTGGAGACATTTCATGTAGCAAGCTGAATAAACAACTATCTACAGGCTTAAGCCAAGTGCTAGGATGAATGAAGGGGCAAGCAAGAAACAGCCAGACTTCAGAGCAGATAGACTGACACTGGGAGCAGAGTCAGCTTGGAATAGTGCTCAGGGCTCTGTGCTCCATTGCAGACAGGGCATAGTTGGAATTCTCTGGTGAGATACTCACTAGAGGTCCACCAATAGGTTCTTTAAAGCCCCCTGAGCCTCATGTTACTTATGTGTAAAAATGGGAATTATAATGCTTCACACTTCATGTGCACTCAATGGCACAGGCCATCTAAAGCATTTTTCAGCATCTGGCATATGGTCATTACTTATGTTCATGCCATTATTATCATTATTATTATTAGCTGATAACTGACAAATGACAGAATAGGCACATCTGATATCCCTGAGGTCTTGAAAGCACCCTGCAAGTATCTGCACAAGGAGTAAGACCCCAGTTCCAGAATACACTGCAGAAAAAGGGCTCATGTCTCAAGAAGGTAAAAATAATATGGACAAAACAGGACTCTAGACCTTAGGTAATTGAACCACTTAGAAAGCACCCCAGGCTAGTGGTATCCAATCTATAAGGGAAAAGAGGCATAAATGAGTTGGTGATTAAGGCTCACCAGCATATGGGTGGTATTCAAAGTCATGGAACTGGATGCAGTCACCCAAGAGAGAAAATTCAGCTTCAACGTGAGTCCTAACAGGGTGTCACAGAGGTCAACAGGGGGAAAAAAAGGCCATTTTTAGTGGGCTGGTGACTTCGACCATTTGCCTGTGAGTCATGTACTCATGGCATACATTGGTTCAATCAGTGGGGTGGTCTTTGGTGAGTTTGATGTGCGCAGTTACGGTGAAGCAGTGGATAGAGTCTATTCACACAGACTTGAGAACATGAAATGTCAGGGAGAGAGGAGAGATGGTGAAAACTAAGTACTGATCATTGGGCTACAAATGGACATCTTTAGGGTCCTTGACAAGAAAATTTCCTATGGGTTCGTGAATGCGTTGGGAAGGGTGGGGAAGAGAGGTAAAAGATGGAAGACTAGAAATTGGAGACAAGGAGCACAGACAGATTCTTGGAGGAGGTTTGATGCAGAGAAAAGCAGCAATATGGGGCAGTTATTGAAACAGGAAGGAGACTCAAGAGAAAGTTATCCAGGAGCAATAAAAACACCTGTGTGTGTTATGGAAAGGCTTTATGTGGCAGGGGAAGGATGGGAGTGTTGTGATGTCATTGAATGAGGAAAAGAAGATGAGAGGTAATAGTTTTGAAACAGCATTAGAGAAGGTAACAACTCTATCTCCAAACTCTGAGGGATACGGAATGTGGGACTATAAATTCCTTGAAGTGAACACCAGAGCTGGTGCCTGATTGCAGTGTTATCACTGGATTAATGGCTGCATACACGACTGACAGGTCTGCAAAGGCAGCCATGTCCTCCAGGCAGAGAGGAGCTAGATACAGATTTAGACAAAGAGGTGGAGGTACTGTTCAGAGATGAGGTAGGAAGGTGGAGGCACTTGTGTCCTACAGCAAGGGAGCCAGTGGGGGCTTTTGAAGATGTGG